AAAAGAAATTCATAGACTAAAAATCAAAGGATGGAAAAAAATATTCCATGCAATGGGAAAACAAGCAGGAGACACTTTCTTATTTTCAAAGTTGATTTCAAGCCAAAACTCATTAGAAGAGGCAAAGAAAGTCACTAGATATTGGTTAAGGGAACAATTCAATGGGATGTGACAACAATTGTCAACATATATGCACCAAACAATAGTGCGCCCAATGTCATAAAACAAACAATGCTGGAAATAAAAGATCAGATCAACATAAACACAATTATAGGGGGGAACTCAATACACCACTGTTACCAATAGATCACCGAGACAAAAAAAATCAACAAAGAAGCATCAGAACAAAACCTTTGAATATGTGGACTTAAAAAATATCTACAGAGTGTTCCACCCAACAATAGAATATACATTCTTCTCAGCAGCACATGGAAATTTCTCCAAAATACACCACATACTAGTGAATAAAACATACTTAAGTAAATCCAAAAGAATCTAAATTATGCCATGCATATTAACAAATCATAGCACAATGATCAAAAATTGGCCAAGTGAAATGAATAGACACTTTTCAGAAGGAGTACAAATAGCCAATAAATATATGAAAAAAAATCATTATCTCTGGCTGTTAGAGAAGTGAAAATTAAAGCTACACTAAGATTATTTCCTACCCCAGAAAGAATGATTATCATCAAGGACAAATGCTGGTAAGGCTACAAGGAAAAGGAACCCATCATGATTATTGATGGGAATGTAAACTAGTACAATCATAGTGGAAATCAGTATCAAAGTCCCCCAAAAATCTAACACTGGAAATTCCATTTTACCCATATATTCCCCTTCTAGGTATCTTCCCAAGAGTTAAAGTCATCATATTTCAGTGATATTTCCATTCCCATGATTATAGCTACACAATTAATTATAGCTAAATCTTGGAAATAGCCTATATGTCCATCAACAGATGAATGGAAAAAGAAAATGTGATATTTATATACAATGGAGTACTGCTTTGGAGTACTACAATGGAGTACTACTTTGCCATGAAGGATGATAAATGAGTCATTTATAGAAAAATGAATGCACCTTGAGACCATAATGTTAAGTGAAATAAACCAAGTGAAATAAGTTTAAATATCACATTATTTCTCCTATATAAGAAACCCAAAATGTAAATAAAGAACAAAATAAAGAATAGATTATAAGAAATAGTGAGACAGATCTTTCTCCTTTGGTAAGGGAATTAAGAAATGACATGAGAAGGAGGGGGAAGTAGAAGGGGTTGAAAAAAGAATTGAGATCTGTCATGTATATGTTCCAACTTAGCATAAGGAATGTAATCATTATATATTGGAAACATGTACTAATAAAAATTAAAACTGAAAATAATAAAAAAAATGGAGAGGAAAAATAATCCTGGTGTACCTACATAAGTGAGCCATCATTTTAAGCTAATAAAAGTAGTCATTGCTAACATTTATGAAATCTTACTATATGGTCCAGGTCTTTCATATATAATAACTAATTAATCCTCATAAAATCACTATGAAATCGGTACTATATGTTTATACCCTTATTAACATAAAAGGAAACTGAATGACAGAGAGGGTGAGTAATTTGCCCAAATACTCATAGCTGCTAAGTAGCAAAGCAGGATTTGAAATCAGGCAATCTGGCTCCACTTAACCATTACAGCAAATTAGCCATCTCATTACCTTAGATGTAAGGTAGTTACTGGGGAGTTACTTGATCTGCAATGAATGGAAACCTAATCCAATTATTGTTAAAACCAACAACAGCATTTTTTGTGCATTTTTACCACAACACCTGCTGCTAATAAACTGCTGCAACTTGGTCCATAGGAAGGTAGAACAGGTGTGAGAGCTTCCTTCCCTGCCAGTACAGCAGCCATCACCAGGAGCTGCTCTTCAGAGTGGGCAAGCCTGTGCCCTTTCCAGATCCACACTCCGCTCCAACTCCCCTCTCATTTCCACACTCTGGCTCCAATGGGAAGACACAGAGGCAAACTCAGATTCTACATTTGCTCAGGCCTTGCCATCAAGATGATCCAGAACATATTTTAATTATCAATCATTTCCAATTGCCCCTGGAATAAAGCCACTAATTTTAGAGAATGCACAGGCCCCTCCCAATACACACACTCTTGGAACACCAAGGGTGTGAGAGGCCTGTGATGTGACATCATGAGCTCACACTGAGGGACCCCATTAAAAAAAAGCATGTTAAACCCATCCCATGTCTGACAAGGAAATGACTGAAGACATTGTACCAAACATGATAGTGTATTTGGAAAAAGTTCCTCTCCGATATTAGAATCAAGAATTGATGTGTTTTCCTTAAGAAGTTTTTACTTTGTGTTTTCTATTTTTCCTGCACAGCTTTTATTACAATTTGTAATTACAGACTTGTTTGACAAATTTCTTGATGAATGTCCATTTCTTACATTTATCTTCATTTATCTTTAAGCACCATGAGGGCAGAAACCATGTCTGTATGTGTCACTCCTTTGTTCCCAGCATTTCTCACAGAACCCAGCATGTAATAAATTCTCACTGAATGTTTGTTGAATGAACAAGTGAATGGTTGAATTAATGAATAAATAAAACATATGAGCCATGTGCTGCTCAATTATCTTTCTGCATACCTGCTAGAAGGTTTAGAGCTGGATTTTTTTCCTGCCCTAGCCAGGGCCTCTACCCTGAGATTCCTTTTTTCTTTCCCTTCTACTTCTAAATTAGGCTGCCTTGTTATATTTTATGAATCCTGGCAAATGTCTTTAAATCCCGTGTGGAACAAGGTAGGAGATAGATAAATATATTTTCCAAAGTCTTTTTTATATATATTTAAAATCTTAACATTAAACCTTCTGCCAACAAACACATTTGATCATCTGTAAACCTTAATAGCTGAAGTGTGCTAACTCCAGCACTATACTAATATTTAAAGCAAATTCCAAGCCAAGCCCAAGAAACCACAGGTGGTATTGTCATTTCAAACACCACTGTATATTACATGTATTGCATGTAGGACAAACACATTTCTAGTAGGGGGTGCTGGAATCTGGTGGACAAGAAAGAATATAGAGTGTGCTAGAACACATTTGTCATCCCAGCCATTTGGGAGGCTGAAGCAGAAGGATAGCAAGTTCAAGGCCAGCCTAGGTAACTTAGCATAATATTCTATCTCAAAATAAAATTTAAAAGGGGTTGAGGGTGTAGCTTGGTAGTAGAACACTTGTCTAGCATGCATGAGGCCCTGGGTTCAATTCCCAGTACCTTCAAATAAGAAAGAACATAGAGAATTCTACAAAATTGTTGTGGATGTGGGATAATTGATTTTGGTGGGTTTTCACAATGTATTGACCTCACAGACACAATGAATGGTTTGTTATTACTTGTGCCCTGGGGGCAGAAGGATGAAGAAGCTGGGCAAGATCCTGATTTGCAGGCATTCAAAAAAGTCACATCACTTTAAAGGATGAAGGTAGAACATTAGAAAGTAAAATTATCAAATAGTCTAACCCCTTTTTAAAATCTGACATATATTATTCATATGCTAGTGGGAGGTGTTACTTGCAAGTCTGAAATTTCATAGCTGTCTTCTCTGGTCATACTCATCTAAAGCACTTTCACTCGATATACTGACCACCTATTTTTTTCCTTAAAACAGAAACATAACTTTCAAATCCCAAACACCCTTTACCCGTGCAAGTTAAATATCTCAGGAATCCCAACTAGACCCACAAACTCGGTGTGAAAGAAAAATGAGCTGGCTCTGTCCAATCCCTATGCTCCTGCCAGGATGCCAACCAACCCTTCCTCTGGGCTTAGTAAGATATATCTGCATTAGAAACTTAGATTTGATTTCTATTATTTATAAGGCTCATTTGAGTCAGTTGAATCTTAGATGACAAACTGCCAGAGGATGGAAGTGTGGGCGTAAAGAAATTGATGGATAATAATTGTATGTCATGGACAAATGACAGGTTTTTTAAAGAATTTGATAGGATGTGGGCTGGAGCTTGCTTTTTAATTTTTTTTTTTTTTTTTTTTTTTTTGGTATCGGGGATCGAACTCGGGACCTTGCGCTTGCAAGGCAGGCGCTAGAACCACTGAGCTAAATCCCTAGCCCATGGAGCTTGCTTTTTAAAAATGTATTTATTTATATTTGGCAGGGAATGGAGATTATGGATGAGAAAAAGGAGGGGAAGAGGCAAGACAATAGGCCGGACCAGAGCTCCTGATCAGCATCCTAAAGCAGTCTGCCCCTCCCTCTCTTCCTCCCCCAACACCAGGTAGGCTGTGGTCGAGATTTCTAAACTAGCAGACACTGACTCCCGCCTCCTAGTCCCAGGAGGGTTTTCTTTCAGGCGACACAGAAGTAAGGGGAGGGCAAATGGAAGCTAAAGAACACATTGGCAACACCTCCTCGGGGAGAGTGGGCTTTTTCTCCCCCTCCAAAGTGATGGGATTGCATACAAATCCAGGCCCACAGAGCCCGCTCATTTGTCAGTTGCGACCCGCCTCACCTGTTCAGATGGTCCCCTTGGGGAAGCACCAGGGCCTGGGGGCTTCCCGGAGGGCGGTGGTCGAAAGCGGAACGGGAGGGAGGGAGGGAACGAGAAGGGAGGGGAGCGGAGGGCAGCAGAGGGGCAGGGACGAGCAGCCCCACCAGGCGAGGCAAACCCAGACCGAAGAAAACCCCACGGGTCCGGCGTTGCGCCTCAGGAGAGCCTCACCATCCGCATACGGGAACCGGAGCCTGCAGCCCAGGTTTCCAAATGTTACATCATCTCCAGAAACCTTCAGGCGTATAACACACAGGGCTGCATCGCGGATAAACGCGCGCACAGACAGCCGCTCACCTCCTGGACCAGCCGGCTCCCTCCAGCTCGCGGCAGGATGCGTGGCATCTCGAATGCCATTGAAAGCACCACGACCCAGGCGAGCCCACCGTGCCCTTCCCAAGAAGGCCTTGCTTACCTCCTGCCCGGCAGCCCATCCATCTCCGGTGTGCCACTGCGGGTTGGGTCGGGTTTTTCTGTGGGGTTTGGGGATGCGCCTCATAAATCCACCCCGCTACTCTGCAGAGCGGCGTGTTCCACCCATTCTGCCACCCGCCCTCGGCACAGCCGCCGGGAATCCCACCGGCGGGGCCGCTCCGATGCCGACTGAGGAGCGCGGAGGCTGCCGCTCCTTGACAAAAGGCTCTCCTTCCCGCGCGTCCCTCACCGCCCTACGGTCAGAATTAAATCCATTTCCCTCAGGAGGCTGGGAGGAAATGAGAGCTCTCCGCTGCCCTGCGCGCTGACAAAAGGCCGCCTCGCTGTGCCCACAGCGCCCCCTCCAGCGGGCCGCGGCCGGCGCCAGAGCGCGGCGGTGCTGCAGTGTCCCCTCCCGGCAGCAGTGTCGCCGCCCGCTGCCGCAGACCCCGCGCCTAGCTTCCCAGGTCCACCTCACTGCCCCGGACAGCCAAAGGGAGCGGCCTGTTATTAGGAAAGAAAAACGAAAGCACCGGCTCCGTGAGGGGCTGTTTCTTCCCTAGGTTAAAAAAAAAAAAAAAAAAAGGCTTACACTTGGAAAACATTTTTGGTCTGGGAAAGGCACCCTGCCTTTGGATGTTAACTCTATTAGTGATGTTCATAGCAATTGTTGAGGAATTCTAAACCAAAATTATCCTTATTCTAATTCTGACTCTATTTTCCAGTAGGACAAATTTTTGTTATGGCCCAGCCTTACCAACACTCACTGCAACCTCCTAGGCCTCTCCCCTTCCCCAGCCTCGAACACCACAGGGAACAGGTGTGTAGTGAGGGTGGAACCCCATGGGGGGCCCAGAACTCGGCTGCAGTCTCAGACCTGCCATTAGTCAGCTGTGTGACCTTGATGAAGCCACTTAACTCTCTGGGCCAACACTGCCTAGACCATCTATAGCACTGTGGACAGCATTCCTCCAAGCCTGGCCCATGAGAGTAGTAAGCATCAAGGAGCAGCTTGGGACTTTACACCTCCATAATCTCTACCAGGCCGCCTCCAGAGCTCCCCTAAATCAACATTCACTCTAAGCCAGAAAAGACTCTGGCTACTGATCCCAAGCCAGACCACAGCACTTCTGCTCCTTCTACTTTCCAGGTATCACGGCTCTCTGACACCCCCACAATAGTCACTGGGCCCCACCACAGTGCTGTTGTGGAAGCAGAATTTCTGTAGGTGGACTCAGGAGTTGATGTTTTTAACAAACAGCCCTAGTGATTTCTTTGCACACTAGCATTTAAGAATTTCCACTCTATGTGGGCTACTATTGATTTAGAAAAGAGTGCAGTCACAGCAACTGTGCCAGGGTAAATTTCTCCTTCACTTCCTCCACCTTCACCCCAGCCCCACATCCCTGGTCCCTGCACCCTCTTTCCCCACTTGGAGCTTCTCCCGTTCCTTCTTCAGAAGCACAGAGGTCACAAGCCCTCTCCCCGTTCTCCTGTGGAAGCCCACTAGGAGAATTACAGCATGCTCCAACATGGACAGCGAGAACTTCTCCTTGTCCCTGGTCTCCATACCCAAAGTCTGTGGGCCAAGGAAACCTTGAAGTGATGTGTTTACTGAGACACTCCTGGGGACTGTGACACTCTTGGTGCCAATAGGTGATGAGATCTAGGAATCTGAAAACCCATTCTCCAAAGCACAGAAATCACAGGGAAGGTAGGCTGTATTCCTAAATAGAACTCCAAAATGAGTTGAGAATTTTTGTTTAGTCCAGAAACGGCAGGTTTCATAAATCCTCTCAATCATCTCTAGCACTTAAATTTCTCTTCCTAGTGTGTTAGTTTTCTCAAACTAATAACAGCAAACCCTTGTTGGCTCCTGGTCTATTCTGAAGCCTTTATGTGCATTCTTACTCAATTAATCCTCAGAAGAACCTATGAGAATTGTAGTAGTATTATCCACATTTTATAGATGAAGAAACTAGGACACAAAGAAGTTAAGTAATTCGTTGGAGGCTGCGTAGCTAATAGTTGGCTAAGTCAGTATTCAAACTCAAGCACGCTGGCTGTAGAGCTCATAAGCCCTAACTACCATGTGTTATGTTTTTTTAAAGGGGACAAAAAATTAGATATTTAAAAGCAGAATTATTATAAGACACTGACAATCCAGATACGCTTTCCTCTCCCAAAAAGGTGATTCTGATCCTCTGACCATCATGGGACTTTTTTTAAAAAAGAAAATATGTTCTGCATTTTCTCCCAGACTCCATCTGATCATAAGAGTGCTGAGAATAGCAGGTCCAGGAATTGTTCCAATGTCAGATAAGAAACAAGATGTCCTTAAGTTCCACATTAATAGTCTATGTAAAATTTTCATTGCATGTCTAGAAACGCTCATTCAATTCCAAATTCACTTTGAAATCCAACAAAAGGAGACCCAAAGGTTGTTGGCTCCAGCCATCAGCAGCCCACAAAACTTCCACAAAACAGCCCACTGCAACAAGCCCTGGGTGCCTGGCCCTCAACTTGGGACAGAAAAGTGCAGAGAACCCAGCCCCAACCTGGAACACAGCTAGTGAGCCCCTGTGGCCAGACTAAGCATAAAATTAGATTTTCTGATTGATTTGTAATAAAGCTATTTGTCTCTAGGTCTTCCGACAAAAATGTTTCTAAACAGCAATAACTTGTAGAGAGAGAATATGGCTGTGCAGAGGACACACGGTTCCTTACGGGGCATCCCCTAAGCTGGCCCCCAAGGACCCCCACCTTCTGGCAGCCACACCCCATACAATCCCATGATTCACCTCTAACCTGTGGGATACAGCCAAGATAATGAGATATCGTATCTGTGGTCACATTACATTACATAAGACACTTTCTTGTGCTAGCAGACCGTTGACTGCCTTCTTTGCATGTTTCATTAAGTAGCCATATTGGGGAGACCCACATGACAAGGAAATGAAGGCAGCATCTAGCCAGCAGTCCCAGAGGAAAAGAGTTCTGCTAACAGCCATCTGAGCTTATAGGTAGATCCTTCCCCAGGCAAGCCTTCAGCTCAGACCCCAGCCCGGCCAATACTTCGAGAGACCTTGAAGCAAAGGATCAGTTAAATCATGTCCAGGTTTATCTCCTGACCCCCAGAAACGGTGTGATAACAAATGTGTTGTTGTAATTTGGAGTAATTTGTTACATGGCATAGATAACTAATACAGAGCCTTAGTGCTCTCCAGGCCTAGACATAATTATCAGTGGGGAATGCTGGAAATGCTGGAGGAATTAACACTCCTGGGGATCAGCCCTCAACCCATGACTATAAGGAGTTAGTAGATCAGTAGCTTAGCTTATTCACTCTGTGTGTTGAGAAGATGCCTCCGAGGTGGGTTTTATATGATCTCCCAAAGTGTCTCAGCAGAACTGAGCCCCAGCTGCCCACAGAAGTACCTCCTCAGCCAAGCATCTTCTGTCACCTTTTCTCTCCTATGTCACTTTCCCGTTACATGACAGGTTCTTCTGGGGCTTGCCTCCTAACTATAATGATAAACTTGATATAATGATCATGATAAACTTCTAGGAGAAGACAATTTAAGACTGAAGAGGGAGAGAGAAAGTACTTTCAATGCAAGAAGAAAGAAAAACTGTAAGTCTAGATCTTCCGAAGACAAATTTCTCAACCAATGAAAGTTCAGCCATCCTATGGGTGAGGCTCACCCTGAAAAGAGAACTGAACTGGGGCTCCAGGGACTGTGTGGCCTCAGGAAGACCCATGATCCCTGGTTTCTTCCCAGCTATAAAGGGAAGGTGACAGTGCTGCCCGTTTATGGGTATACTGTATCCTCTCTTAATATTTGCATGTTGAAGTCATGAACCTCAGTACCTCAGAATGTGACTGTGGAATGAGGTCCTTTCAAGAGGTAGTGAAGGTACTATGAGATCATACGTGTTAGCCTTATTCTAATGTGACTAGTGTACTTATAAGAGGACATATGGTCAGACATGATGGCACACACCTGTAATCCCAGCACTCTAGGAGTGCTGAGGCAAGAAGATCACAAGTTCCAGCCAGGGCAACTTAGTGACAGCAAATCTTGCCTCAAAATAAAAACTTTTTTTAAAGGTCTGGGGATATATCTCAGTGCAAAGTGCCGCAAAAAAAAAAAGAGGAAGGGTATGTAGGAGATATGGAGGAGAGAGAAGAGGAAATGTGGACACAAACTGTGCAGATAGAAGACCACATGACAACACAGCAATACAAAGGTGGCCACTTACAAGCCAGAGAAGCCACCAAAGAAACCATACCTGCTGGCACCATGATCTCAGACCTCTAGACTCTAGAACTGTGAGAAAGCACATTTCTGCTATTTGATGCCATATGTGGTACTTTATGATGGCAGCCCTAGAAACTAATATAACCTACCACCCAGGGTTGTTGCCATACAGTCAAAATGGGAAAGTACTGATGGTCATCTTACTACTGAAGAAAGGGAGACAACAATCCACTGCAACCCCAGCCACCCCTGGATACAAGCATCAGGGTAGAAAGGCCCAGACTAGTTTCCACCTTCACATTAGGGCCAGACCTCAAGGCTATGGCTAGAACTGCAGTGAGCCTGGTGTGTTAGCTAGCTTTTCATCCCTGTGATAAAATACCTCAGAAAAACAACTTAGAGGAGGAAAAGTTTGTTTTGGTTCACATATTCAGAGGATTTAGTCCTTGGTCAGCTGGCCCCATTGCTTTTAGGCTTGTGGTGAGGCAGAAACATCATAGTGGAAGAGCTTTGCAGAAGAAAAGTGTTCACTTCATGGCAGCCAAGAAGCAAAAGGAGAGAAAGAAAAGGGCAGGGTTCCAATATCACCTTCAAGGACACACTCCTAATGTGCCCCAAGTTCTCCATCTAATTCTTACCTGCTAAGGTTTCCACCCCTTCCCAATAGCACCAGGGCTTGGGGACCATGCATGCATTCAACACACAAGTCTTTGCAGGACATTTCAGAGCTAAACCATAAATCCTTGTGATATGCATTCCTCTGGGAGAGTCTCACATGGACAGAGATGCTAAGTACATTAGTTCCTTCTCCCAGCCCTTTGCAGTAAGATCCCAGAATGGAGACCTTTTTTCATTACTACCACTTGCCCTGTAGGATTATTCTGGAGTTGTTATTCCTAGAGGGTGTTAATGCTTTCAGGGTCTGTTTTGAAACTTGGGACTGATGTCTTATATAGACTAGAGTTTTTGATCCTGGAACCATGACTCTCTCACTACCTAATGACTCTTAGGTAGCTAGAACCAGCACACCGTTCTTATTCCAATTCCTATAAATGACACTTAGTGGGTGTACAACTCACATCAGAAAGAGATTTTTTATCCTTGAAGCCCAAATGCATACAGTGCCATATTCAATAGAGACAAATCCCACTTCCAGTGCCTTTAAAGTTCTGCAAATCACTAAAGAGGATGGAGAGACCAGAGCTAGCTAACTCTCTGCCATGTGAGGACACAGTGAGAAGGCAGCTTTCTCCAAGCTAGCAAGTGGAGCCCTCAACACAAGCAGAGCTCTGCCAGAGCTTGATCTTGGATTTCACAGCTTTTAAAACTGGGAGAAATAAATGTGTTGCTAAGCCACTCTAGTGTGTAGTATTTGTTATTGCAGCTGAGCTAATATAATATCTGGTCCTCAGTTTTCCCATCTCATAAAAGAGATAACCATGACTATCTCGTGGGATTATTGTAACAACAAGTTAACATATACAAAATGAAGAGAACAGAACCCAATAAAGATTAAGCATCATGTCTTTGTGAGCAGTTGTTATAAAGATGAAGACTGTTTTTGTACTCAAGATGTTCAAGTGTCTAATTTGCACAAAGGTGCCATTTGTTTTTAGCTGGGCACTTAGAAAGCCCTGAAAATTCTCATTCTTGTGGGCCAACACTTTCAACTCTACACTCATCTTGCATTCCTGTTAAAGATTAATTTTCCAGCTGTGCGAAGTGGCACATGCCTGTAATCCCAGCTACTTGGGAGGCTGATGCACGAGGGTTGCAAATTCAAGCCTAGGGAGGGCAACTTAGCAAGACCTCATTTCAAAATTAAAATTAAATAAAGGCTATGGATGTAGCTCAGTGCTCCGTATATTCAATACCCAGTACCACAAAAAGAAGATCAAATCCCGAGGTGTTATGGTTTGTGTTTAGATGATCCCCCAAAGCCTCACGTGGTCATAGGTAGAGCTTCTTCAGAGGTGGCTGGATCTAGAATGTGTGATGCTGGAATTGATTTGTGGCACAATGCTAGGCTCAAGGGCACTGGAACTAAGGGTGTGAGTGCTACCCACCCTAAGTAGTCTGGATAGTTAAAGGGGGCAGAAAGATGCTGTTAAGATCTCTTGTTGCTTTTGCTACCTTGTGGGCACCATGAACTGCTATTTTCCTCTGAGATGCCCCTCTGCCATGTGCCACCCTATCTTGGAGCCAGCCAGCTATGGACTGAAACCTCTATGAACTGTAAGCTAAAAATCCTTTCCTCCTTTAACTTTTGAGTGTCAGTTATTTTGTCTTAGCAATGAGAGAAAAGCAACTAAGACAATGGGAAAGGTAACAATCACTTATTCCTCAAAGTGATTAAAAGGAAATGGAAAGAGAAATATTAGATATAGCTCCTGAAAAGGTAAGAATGGAAATCTCTTGAGAGATTAGGAACAAAAGTGGAAGGTCCTAAACCTATTTCTTCAAAGCATGAAATGGAAAGTAGAGTCAAGTGAATTTGTGACAGATAAGGCCATTTGAAGGGTAATTGTTAAATTTGAGTTATCACAAATTTCTTTACCTCCCCCAATCAAAGACTCTAAAACTTTCAAGACTGTGTTTATTTGTTCTTAGAAGGTAACCCTGGGCCTTTTCTCTTGTGTATTTGTAGGAGTCTGAAACAGAAAAGAAAGTTCATTATAAATGACTAAAGGATCAGACCAGACAGTTCTCAAAAGAAACACAACTAATAAAGAAATATGGAGGCTAGGGATGTCAGTCAAAGGGAGAGCACATGCTCAGCATGTGTAAGGCCCTGGCTTTAATCCCCAGGGCAAATAAAAAAGTAAAAGATGTAATTTCATTAATAATCATATGTTAAATTTAAATATACGATATTTCATCAATTTTACTAGGTCTCATTATTGGTAAAAACATGACAGAATTAGCACTTGTACATTGCTGGGTATTGTAAGTGGGCACTATGGATCAAGATATAGAATGTACCTACCTGTGATCCAGGAATTCTACTTCTGCAACTCTATCCTGGAAAAAAATACAAAAAAAAAGAGAAAAGGATAAATTATTTGCTATGTTTATAAGAATAAAAGTTGAAGGAAACTTATGTGTCCAACAAATAGAAAACTGTCTCAACTAACAAGATATTTGAACATTCCATGACAGAAAAATAAAAAACAGGACACACAATGTGATTGATGTATCCTGTGATAATTTCTAAACCCAGTTACACAGGAAAAAAAATGGAAGCACTTTAGTAGATTCTAAGCAGAGGTTTTACTAGGGTGGTGAGTCTATCATGTATCGTCTCCATTTTCTCAAATCTCAACTTAAAAGTATAAGCAAACTCATGACTGAAAAATAAAAACTCAAATCACAGGTAACTTATAGGCAATTATTGGAACCCAGTAAGCATATCACAGTGGAAGAAAAAAAACATTGACTTCAACTGCTCTAATTTAGCTTTAAATTTTTATTTTCTGGTCTACTCTCATTTACATTTCAAGATCGGGTTTCATTAAAATAAATGTGGTTATAAAGAGTACGACCCTCAACCCCACTACTTCACTGACTTGTTGGATATTGGGCAAGCTACTTCTGTTCCTTAAATTCCTCACATGTAAAAATGGATATAATTATTTGTACATCACGGCATTGTAAAAGTTAAATAGATCACTATGTATAAAGTGCCAAGAAGTATCTGGCACAACATATGAACAACTCTTTTTTTTCTGGTCTTGAGTCTTGCCAATATTCCCGTGATCAAGATTTTTGTTGTTGCTCATATTTAGCTTTAGAAGCTTTATTTAAAAAAAAAAAAAAAACAAAAAAACCTCTTTACATATCTGGAATGTTTTAACCCTGAGACAAGTTCATATTGTTATGTTTACCTAAAGGGTTAAAGAATAATTAAATCCTATCAGCCTATAATCTAGTGTATTTGAGATCATTGTTTTATTTTATTTTTAAGAGTTAGATGGAATATCCTAAGAATAAAATATATATTTAAGTATCCCAATTGGAAAACATGTTTATGTTTATCATTGTTGTCTTTGTCAGGATCCCTATGGGGCCTCTTTCTTAAGCAATTTCCCCAACCCCTTCTCCATCTCTAGGTGTAGTGAGGAGTATGTACTGTGGAGGTTGCTGCTCTCCTTTGTCTCCTCTCTTATGGGGTGCTCTTCTGTCTTGAGGGGTGCTGACATCTACTGTGAATGTCCATGGTTTTTCTATGCCTTCTTTTCTCTGGCCAGGGATTCAATACTTACTTGAAGATGATGGAGTTTACTGGGACAAGATAAAGAGTTTCCCCACCATCTGCATCATAAGGGTCTTGCTGAGATCTCAAAAAGAAGTGGAATGCAGTGCAGAAAGTAAGGCTACATTTTCTCCCATCTGTCAGTCCTGCCTCAGCTATTTGAAAGTTCATCCAGGACCCAGAAACTAGAATACAGCATTGTAGCCACAAGCCTCACTTTCACAAGTCTAGAGGGAGAGCTATGTAGACAATCTTCCCGTACGTGAAGCTCCTTATAATGAGGGAAACATTGGCCACCCAATGCAGCCTCAGCCTCTCCCGTGGGGTCCTGGTCCTGCTCACATGATGCTTGGGGACTCTATCCCTTGGCTCCTTACCTCAGATCACCCCAATGAGGCAAATGTCTCAGACTCATCTTCCACATGTGAGTAGCTAGAAGAATATGAGGAGAGAAAAGCTTTCCAAGAGGAAGACAGTGACCATAGAAGACCAGAAAAGCCCCTAATAATGGAATTCTACTTATAATCCCTTTACCCTCCTACACTAGGAAATCCGTCATTAATACTTTGACCTTGGAGTCCATTTCATCTCACATCTGTTCTGGATAACCCAGGAATTAGGATGTCAAAGGTGGTAAGGTACATTGATCTTCCTTGGGACATAGGCTTAGCTCATAGTGTCCTAGCATTTGTTGGTTTCTGAGTAAAACAAAGAACCAACTATCTCAAAAGAGAACAACACATCAGAAAAGTCTAATCCCTACCTCTGAGAGACTCTTCCATCCATTTCTGCCTTTATCCTCTGTATTTACCCAAGGCCAATGAGATGGACCTTTTGTAAGGTCCTTTATAAAATCTCATATAAATATTCCTTCTAGAAGTTCAGTGGAATAGGGGAAAACTTACTGCAATTAATTTTACCGAAAGTCCTCATTATCTGTATGGAAGTAGAAAAAGAAGGAATTATCACATTTCCCAAATAATTTTCTGCTTACTGACAAGGTTAGGCCACATACCAAGTAGAGTTCTTCTCATAAAAAACACAAAATTCACATATGTGTACATACAAACATACACACACACACACACACACACACAGACACAAACATGAACCTGCATTCATTATCTACTCAAACTGCTGTGCCGACAGAAAAATTAAAATTCTAATAAAAAATTTCCCTTTCTTATATTCATAAACAAATAAAAATTTTCTCCCTTGTAACATTTTCTTCTTATCGTGATCAAATTTAGCCTTAAGAATTTTCCTCAGGTGTCTGGTTGAGTTTCTTCCTCAATAGCTGCAACCAGGAAATGCCCCACTAGAGTTTTCATCATTCCAAAGGTAGTCCTTTCCTGTCCTGCATATGCCATATAGCTCACCTTTCCAATGTCCCAGAGAACTACAAGCATATGTGCCAGCAAAGCACCAGTTCCCTTACTCAAAGCTTAGAAAACAGTGAAATCCTGGAGCTAAATGCAATCACTGGGACAACCTTTCCTGAGCCCCAGTGCCCTGAGTCCAGGACTACACAGTCAATTACCTAAACAGGTGAGATGAGCTAATGGAGTCAACAAGATGTGGTGGGGACTGCATCAGACATAAAGCACCCACGCCCAAGCATGGGAGTGGGAGCCTATTATCCTAGCACTCTGGGAATCTGAGGGAGGAGGAGCCCAAATTCAAGCCCAGCCTAAGTAACTTGGCAAGACCCTCTCCCAAAGTAAAGCATTAAAAACAGATTGGGATATAGCTCAGTGCAAAGACTCTGGGTTCAATCCCCAGTACCATAAAAAAGGGGGTGGGGGAAGAAATTAAATTTTCAAAAATACTCTGCTGATAGACTATGCCCCCTCAGACACCAGTGAACTCTGGAGCAGACAAACCTGCTTCCTATGCAGAAATAGCATGATACTGTGGTAGAATTGTTACCATCTTCTATAACCACCTGGGGTTGAAAGACAAAAGAGGTTTTAGGGCAGTGGTGGTGAATCCATGACATGTGTGCCACAGCAGGCTGTTTGTTATCATTGAAAGCTCTAAAAGGTTCACCATCACTACTTTAGGGCTTTCCCAAGGTGCTAATAAATTCCTCCCAACTAGTCAGACCAACTAGACAGACTAGTCAGATCTTAAAATGCTATTTAAAAAAATATCCCCAAGGATTAATTTCACAGATTATCACAACCTGGAGAAGAGTGGTAAAAATCTACCACCCACACAGGCCTCCTTCTTTCAAAAGCTCTTTCAAGGAACTTTCCCAAAACATAACAATATTTAGAAAAGTGTGTTGGCAACACCTTTAGGCCCCTAACAGACACTTATGTTCATCCACATGTCCCTTTCCAAAGCCCCTTCGGTCCCAGTGCTCTTGGCACCCCACTCTAAAACTGAAGCTGGTCTTTGTTCTGAGACATACCCTCCGCAGTATCACAAGCAACTCTGAATACAATTCAGAGCCATGTATAATATGAAATGCCCAAGCTATGGTCACAAGTGACAAAGAGAAGGAATAAACCAATGGGAGGACAGCCAGCACCTTGCCACCCAGCAATGCTCAACCCCAATATGACAAAACACATATGCCTTAAACTCCAATTTTAAACAACTTCTCCTAGACCTTGAAACTAATCTTATCCCCACCAAGACCAGATGCATGACTTCCTGTAGGTCATAGCCCTCTCTGGCTGGACACATACTTGTTGCTTTGGTCCCACACTTGCTGCTCTGGCCCCAGAAGTTAATCTCCATCCCTGCCATCAGCAGATTCTTGTGTACTTCATTCAATATCCTGCCTCTGAGGAATGTTATTGATCTTGCACAGCCTGTTCTGATTCCATTTCCAAATCCCCCCCACTCAAATTCCCATCCCTTCCAGGACCAAGAATTTCATTTCCCAGATCCTCTAAGAGGGCAGGAACAAGGGTGCCTCTCCAGTGCACTGAAGCTAGAGAGAGGCTTCATCCCAAATCCTAAGTCCTTCTGTATGTGGGCATCTCAGCTGAGTTACATCAAGAAACCTGAAGGAAATCCAATTAGGGTATCTGGCCAGGATTCTCAAACTCCAAGTAGTCATCCCTTTGGGCTGAACTCTTACGAGGATCCTTTTGTCAAATGAAGACTAGCCTGAGCATTTTTTAGTTCCTTTATCTTGGACCCATCCTGATTCCTACATATAAAATGCAAGCTTTTTATAAAGTCAGTAAAAGTGATGCTGAATAATTTCTCAACTCACATGTAAACAAAGATCTCAGAGCTAAATATGTTAACAGAGAAGACTAACCAAAAAATGGCTGAACAGCAGACACTTCGTAGAAGAATTGATTTCTCCTCCTTCTGCTTTTTGAAAAATTTGGAATGAATCCCACTAGTTGGGTTACAGTAAGGTAAAGGGGATCCAAGGTTATCTAAAGTGAGATATCAAGGCTCTAACTGAAACAGGAGAAGACACCCAACTTGGGATAAGTGGTGGCCTGGGTAGACTATCCAACCCAAGGAGAGGGTTCTTGTGGAGCCCAAGGAGGAACAAATTGAAATGTGCCCCATCTAATAGGATTCAATGAATAGAAAAACAGCATCACTTCTGCAATTTCTGCCAAAAATGAAAGTTTGAATCCCATCAGGAGGAAACAGATAAGGCAGATGAAGAAATATTCTACAAAACAACTGGTCCAGAATCTATAAAAGAGCCAAGGTTTTAAAAGTCACAGAGAAGCCAGTAATGAAGGGAGCTATAAAGATATGGCAACTAAATGCAATTCATGATTCTCAGCTAGGTCTTTTTGCTCAGAAAGGACATTATTAATACCATTGGTGAAACGTGAATGGGGCCGAAAGCTGCATGACAAAAATACATTGACACTGATTTACAGATTTTGGTGGTTTCATTGTGCTTATGTTAGGAGAATGTCCCTACTCATAGGAAATAATGAATTATTAGGTATGATAACAGTGCATGCCTATAATCCCAGCACTCTGGGAATCTGAGGCAGGATGAACCCAAATTCAAGCCCAGCCTAAGCAATTTAGCAAGACCCTGTCCCAAAATAAAACATTAAAAAGGAATGGGGTTGTCAGGTTGGCAACTCACTCCCAAATAGATCAGGGGAAAAAAGTTCTTTGTATTATACTTGCAGCCTTTTTATAGGTTATTATTTCAGAATTTTTATTTTAACAGTGAGTGATTTGAATGTCAAAAGATGAGAAATTGACAAAGCTGATGAAATCTTAGAATGCTTCTAAAAAAATAACACTCTTTACAACCAAGCCTTGAACATCACCCTTAAGTTCTGTATCTGATATATAGGAATTTCAAATACATGATTATGTGGTCATAACACACACTTTCAACTAACAAACTTGATGAGCTAAAAAGGCTAAAAATGAAGTGCCCTGTTCCTGTTTTTTGAAGAAAGGTCTAGTGAGAACCTTTCTGTTCTTTATATAAAATATTAGTCTGCACTTCGGTGTTTTGGTTTTTTTTGTTTGTTTGTTTTTTGTTTTTTTGGTACCAGGGATCCTAACTCCAAACCTTGCACTTGCCAGGCAGGTGCGGTCCCACTGAGCTAAATCCCCAGCAATCCATACTTTAAATTGATGTACTATAAGTGGCCTATCTTAGGCTCTATGATCCTTGGAAAATAAGGACCTTCCACATATACTCACTACAGCCTCCTGCCCCAGCACAGACCCAACAGACTGACAGGAAAGTAGAGATGACATGATACTTACCTAACAAGGATCACTGAGGATTTAATGAAAGGCTCACTCTCACTTTAACATCTACTTTATATTAACACTAACGTTTGAGGAAGCATCACTATTGTGGAACACTTGTGGAAGCATTACTGATGGAGCCAGGATCAAGGTCCATCTCAGGTCATTTTTTCACTCTTTCTTTTGGTCTCAGTCATCATGTGCCCCCTTGTGGTAGTAACAAGAATTTTCTCCTAAGAGTTGATTGACGAGAAATTTTACATCTCAAGTGACCAGAATATGAAAATTGTAAGGACTAAAAGGTATAATAGATAATGTGAAATAGGAAGAAAAGGGGCAAAGGGGAAGGGGAAGTGGGAGGGGTAGGGGAAAGGAAAGAAGGGAATGGAATTAATATGAGAAAATGAAAAAATGGAAACCAAGTCTTTGTAAGTAGGGAGGGATGGAGAGGTTGAAGGGAGGGCAGGGGAAGGGGGAAAAATAAGAACCAAGAGAGATTATGTAAAGGTGCAAATTTCCAATGATGAATGTCATTATATTGTATACCTAAAATGTACTAATAAAGTTAAATTACAAAAAAAAAGAAAATCATGACCAAGCATATATTAAAATGAAATCCTTGGAAAACAGCCATCAAATCAGAAATGGAAGCCAAGGCCTATAGGTGAGTGAATAGGAAGCCTATAAAGAACTCCAATCAGAGTAAATCATTGGTGAAAACCAAGTAAGAAAACCCAAAATACTGCACAAACAGAGCTGGTGTGTCTGTGCCTTATTAGTGTTCCCCAGCCAATGCTGATTGCTCATGGTGAGTCAATTCACTTTAATATCTGTCCAAGTGAACACTGACATGCTGGGAAATATGCTAGATATTTTACTGATGTGATATCATTTAACTTTCTGCTATGTATGAGGGAGGTGCTGCTATCATTCCCATTCTACAGATGAAGAAACTGAGAATCAGAGAGGTTCAGTGATTCATTCAAAGTCACATAGCTAGCAAATGGTAAAACCAGGGTTGGAACCCCTGTGGTCTCTCTCCAGAGCCTATATAAAGCTGCTATTCTAAACTACTTCCTACTATCATTTGTGTCTCCCTTACATCACAGTGAGCAATAACACTATGCTTGGTTCAGTTTCCTACAAGCCTTTCTTATTTCAATAGCATTTATTACAGAACAAGAGGCCTCAATTATGTAACACTGATCTACAGAAAAAGCCAAATGTGCACCTTCTGGACTTGGAGAAGCGTGCTACTTCCAGCTACCTCTTTAGTTTGACAAAGTAATAAGATCTATTACAATAAATTGCTTTATTATTACTTAGAAAATATTCCCTTGCATTCAGCCCCCACTCCCAAAATAGGATCACCATGAATCTTTACGTATAGGAAGCTACTTACTCCTTTTTCTGGAAACCAGAGTCCAGAAAGCCTTTTGATGTGTTAAATAAGATCATTTTAAAAATAAGCTTAGTTCTACATTGTATCATTCTGGAGGAATTTCCCCTCCCCTTGAGCTGCCTACCAATTAATCTAGCAATGTAATCATCTTCTAAATTAGGAAGCCCTGCCCCCCCAAGGTGCTTTCACAAAATCTTCTTTTAGTCATGTTTTAGCATGGGAAATGACACATAGCTCAACGTACACATGTTGAGCTTTTGGCGATCTATATGATGATTTAAAAAGAAATACTTTACCAGACTCCTGGCCAGTGAAGTAACTCCTAGTCACAGGTGGCATGCTCTTGCAGCAAGCATATACTGGCTCACCACTGCCGCCATCTGCCCAGGGCCCTTCCTCTTCATTCTTCAAGCCAACAGCACAGCTGGTATGTTGGATGTCTTTTGATAGCTCTCTAGCCAAGGATATATGTGGTTCGGGAGTACTGTTGCTATAGTTCTGCTTATCTGGGTCTTGTTTCTAGAAACCATGTTAATTGTCAAACAGTATAATATGACAGTCTGACTTTTAAGATTTGTATCAACATATTTCAAACAATTAACTAATGAGGCTTCATTAAAGTGGTAAAGGCAATGCTTAAGTTATTAGGGAGAGAAAAGTTCTTCTGTAACCTTAAAATGTTATGCAATAGGCAACTGCATTTAAAATAGTATAGTATCGAACAAATTTTGTATCTTTTAATGAATCCAGCACAGAACAAAGTACTTCTGTTACACTATTAAAACACAAGTAAAAACTAAGGTGCACATGTTTGGACACCAATCATACCACAACCAAACCACCCAATTTAGCCAATAGAAAAATCTAATCCAAACTTATCTTCCTGGCAGTCACCTGAATAGGACTAGAGGACAAGAAGAAGAAAAAAGCAAAAATTTCAATGTACATGAGCTTCTAGACTATTTTTCTTCTAATACCTCTCCTCTTTGCCTCTAAACATGATCATATTGCTACTTAGAAAGACTTCCGCTTGACCTAACAGTTTCCTTCCTTTTAGTTTTTTGATCCTACTCTCCATTCTCAGACTTCCAGGTTAAATGGACTTGAAGCTTGCCACTTTCCTCTGCTTGAACCCCAGATATTTACCATAATGCACTTCAACCTCCCATGAATTTACTTCTAGTCCATTCCTCTCCTGGCTCTAAAATGCTGGGCCTGGTTGCCTTCCAGACTTGGCCTTCCTTTGTCTCTGTAACATCTACTTTCCACCTTAGTTTCCTAAGATCCTCTCCTTCTCAACTTTATGACACCCACTCACCCTCACCCCCTTCAATCTTGTTCCTCCATTTTCTCCACTCTAATCACTTCCTCCTGTTAAGGCATCATTCAGGGATTTCAAAGGCCTTATCTCTCTTCATATCTTATCTCCCTTGATGGCAGATCCATTTGCAGGCCCTTGTGTTTTCTTGTGCATGCAATGAACCATGAAATTAGCCCATACCTTCTACTGCCTACTGAGCTAACCCACTCTGATAATGCTGGTGACACAGTGGTGTTTCACAGTTCACAAACCAGGTTCATTTATACTGTCCCATTAAATTATCACAAAACCCCTTTCTGTGTCCTAATGGGTGTTCTGCTAACAGGAAACTACCACCACAAAGTGCTTTCATGGAAGCCCTTTTTTGTGTCCCAAATCCCAAGATCCTGTTAAAGAGTCAGCAGTTATCACCCTGGAGAGTGACAGGAGGTAAGTAATTAGATGGTCAGGGTCTTGATTCCAAATCTCATCTGGATTTGGTTTCAAATTCCAGTCCTGAAACTTCTCAGCTGTGTGGGCTTTACTTATTCTTTGGTTTTTTCTCTGTCAAACGAGGATCACACCTCTAAGGATTATTATAAAGTATACATAAATGGCTTGGCACAGTGCCTCACAATTAGAAAAGGCTCCAAAATGGTATCTACCATTTTTCTAAATTCTTAAACCTTTACCTCTGAGTCTTTGGCTCCTTCCAAAACATCACTGAGAACTTGTATGTATTCAGTTGCACCTTTAAGGATATCAACTTTGCTAGGCTTTCTGCTTTGGGGAAGAAATGGCACAAGTGCCTTCAGTTTGGCAAAGCCACGGTTGAGATTTTTAATCTAGAAAACAAAAAGGCACAGGGTCAACAGAGAGGCTAACTTGTACAGACATCACACCAAACCACAAAAGGGGGTTGTGAGGGCTCATTTCCACTGCCCTCTCATATGGGTGGTAAATCTAAGCAGGCAATGCCAAAGGGTCATATTTCCATGAGCACAGTGGCGCATGGCCAGGGAGAGAGGGAATCAGTGCAGCTCGGTGGGAGGACAGACTGGAAGATGTATCTATTTCCACACTGACCTTGCTTCTCTTCCTTTAGGGAACATGCCTGCTGAATTATAACATACAGGCAAGTGAAATAGCAGCTAAAAGCTTGGCATCACTATACCAGTATTTAAAACCCAGCTCCACCATTTGCTGCCCTTATGAGAATACGTGGGATGCTTCATATCACTAAGCTTTAGTCTTCATCTGCAAAGTAGAAAGTATCTACCTTGTATCCTTTTTGTGATTATTAAGCAAAATAATGTACACGCACCAAAACAATCTCACTCAGATCTGATATAAAGTCCTCAAGAGGTGGTGCTGCTGCTGAATAAAATAAACAACACTTGTCTACTCAAGCACAGTGACCTCGACTCACTAGCTTCTTTCCCAGTGAGTTAATGAATAGTCACGTGTGAGAGTCTGCACACTGGTGGACTCAAAGTCTCCTCGCTTTTATTTTCCCTATTCTCCAGGCTCAAATCTAGTAAGTCCCCAACCTATGAACATTCGAGTTGTGAACTTTCACGGCTATTCTGTACTGTATAAGACTCACTTTGTTGGCTTATGAATGAATCCAACTTATGAACAATTCTCCCAGAACAGAACTCACTCATAAGTCGAAGACTTACTACTGTGCCTTGGCTCTGAAGACCAAGAACTCTGATGCTCATCCCTTTAAAGGACACAGGCCTTGGGAGAGCTGGCTTTCATTACACCATAAAGCCAATATACTCAATTATAATGACAGCCCCCCTGCCACCCTGGAGTAAAGCAGACAAAGGACATGACTAATTCACATGAGAATTCAATGACCAGTAAATATATGAAAAGATTTCACTTTAATAATCAAACTACAACAAATTAGATACCATTTTTCATGTACCAAGCTGGTCATATTTTTGTCTTGTTAATCATATCCTATATCAGGAATAACATGAAAAACAGTTCTGTTTTCTGTAACAGGAATAAAAGTGAGAAGCCTTTCCAGAAAGCAATTGAGTAACACCAAAAGTCATGTGTGCCTGTAATCCCAACAGTCTGGAGGCTGAGGCAGGAAACTGCAAATTTAAGACCAGCCTGTGTAACTTACTGACTCAGAGAGACCCTGTCTTAATTTTTTAAAAAAAGGAGAGGTCAGGTGGGGATGTAGCTCAGTGTAAAGGCCCAGTACTGAAAAAAAAAGTCATGAGATTATATATGTCCTGTGTCTCAGTAACTCAACTTATAGCATTTTATTCTAAGCTAAATATCAGACAAGTTCATAGATTTATGTGCCAGTAAAATCCTGGCAAACATCATACTTACCTAGCAATGAGATGGAATACATCTGGTACACTTACATGACAGACTATACAGTCAAAAACTGTTCTGAGAAATGCTTCAGAAAATGAGAAAATGCTTTTAGTAATGTTCAGTGAAAATATTTAAAAGACTATTACCATATGACCAAAATTTTGTAAAATTATGTACATCACCCACACAACTAGAAAAAAATTGGGAGGAAATACACAAAGATGTTCACAGTAATTATCTGTGTTGTGTCTCCATTCTCTCTTCAGTCATTTCTGTATTTTCCAGGTGTATTTTGTCATTTTAAAGAATGATAAAGGTCATTTGCCTTCTTAAAACCAGGACCAGTTTTCTACAGAAGGCAATAGCTTCCAGGTGGAAAGAGTCACTTAAAATATTGGATCAAAGTCTCATTTCGGGGCCATCAAAGCAGACCACAGGATTATCTATCTGTCTGTTTTTCTGAGGCAGAGTCTCATTCTGTAATTCAGTCTGGCCTCAAACTCATGGCAACCTTCTTGCCACAGCCTCTCAAATGCTGGGAGTACAGCTGTGCGCCACCAAGCCCAACACGGGATTATTTTTATAAAGGGTGCAGTGTCTGGTAAAAGCATACTTCACCATCCTGGCAATTTTCTAACTTCTCTTAAGTCTTCTGCCCTTACTTGGGGCTTCCTCCTCCTACTTTCCCACACAGAATTCCTAGTAGACTGAGTAACGTTTCTAAAGGTGTGTGTAGGAACAGCCCCGATAGAACTTACTTCTCCAGGTCCTAGGCCTCAAGGTGCTCTCTGCGGCAGCCCTCCTCCCTTCCTTCCCTCTCTAAGATAGATCCTCAGACAACCAAACCCAGAGAACACCAACTGCCTGACAAATTTGGATTCTGAAAGCTGACCTAAAACGCTGAAAGCGACCAGCAGATGCCGCTCCAATCAGGAACTCAGGACCTTTCCTATTGACTTACTACGGCCCCTGATTGGGAAAGTCACTTTCTCTACACTCTCTCGACGGGCTTGCTTGGGAATTTGGGCGCGAACTGGGACACTGTGATTCTTTACTGTAAAATACATAAACTCGGCTAGGGGATATAGCTCAGTGGTAGAGCCACTTGAGCCACGAATGCTTGAGGCCCTGAGTCCGATCCCCAATACTGCAGGGGGAAAAGGCCCCCTTCTGCCCTCGTCCGGTATTTGCTTCCAGGCAGATGCCGCAGGGACGGATTTGCACGCAAGCACCCAGCCGGCGGCGCCTACGGCTGTGAGACCCCCAACTCCCATGCTCTAAAGCTCTCCAAAAGCACCGGCCAAGGGGAGTCTTTATTGAACTTGTCAGGGTTCCCTCTCCTCTCCTCTCCTCCCCCGAACTCGTTCCTGCACAAGTCCGGAAGGGTCCCCAGGTGAGGCGGCGGCTACCCCAGCGGCGGCGAACGAGCAGCTGGACGTAGGTGCAGGGTAACACGGCCACTTTCGTGCTTCCAACACGTTGCGGACCCGACCCGAGCCTCAGGAGGCCGAAGTCGCGTGGGGCCGCGGGAGGGCGGAGGAGGTGCACGGGGATGAAACCCATGATGGAGGTGGGAGCACGGGCGCAGAGTGGCCGCGCCGAGGTGGCCCCGGGGACCCCTCACCCGCTCGCGCTCCTTGGCATTGGCCACACGCCGCCGCTCCAGCACCAACTGGAGGTCCTCGGTGGACGAATAGCCGCCCGAGGGCAGCCGCTTGAGCCGGCAGATGGCGGCCAGATGGGGCAGAGGCCCGAATTGCTCTCGGAGCACGTCCTCCAGCACCTCGGCCTGCGGGACGCCCAGGACGGCTAGCCGCGCTGGGCCGGGCTCGGGGGACACGGACTCAGCGTCCATGGCGGAGCGCGGAGGTCGGGGTGGGGGGGGGCTTTCACCTGCCGCACCTGGGGCCACACGCGGCCCACGCGGGGCGGGGCGGGGCGGGGCGGGGCTCGACCACCTGAGCGCTGCCGCGGATAACCAGCCACTGACGGTTACAGTGAGAGATGGGTGACAGCACTGCTGTCAGTTTGGCTCCGTTTTCCTGGGCTCTGGAATCACCAGGCGGTTTTTTGTTTGTTTTTAATCCACGTGGTAGGGTAACAATCGTCAAAATTCTAATTCAGTCTGAGTTGAGTCTGAATTAGGGCATGAGTTTCTTGATACATGTATGCACATATATACACACATATACATATATACACTTATACAGAAAAAATGATGGTTGCACACACATTTTTTAAAAATTCAATTTGAAATAAAAGCTGCAGAAAAAGTTGCAATAGTAACAAAAAGCTGCAGTACTTCCTTTACTTCATTCTTTCCTTGTTAAGATTTTCCTGTTTGTTCCAACTGTCTTTTTATGACTATTTCATTTTTCTTTTTCCAAAATATTTGTACCATTTTTATTTGTATTTGTCTTATTTATTTATTTATTTATTTATTTATTTATTTATTTATTTTGGTACCAGGGATCAAACTCAGGACCTTGTCCTTGCAAGGTAGGCTCGGTGCCACTGAGCTAAATCCTCGGGCCCTTGTGTTAGTATTTTCAGGACAAGGTCTCACTATGGTGCCCAAGCTGGGATGGAAGGCCAGGGCTCAAGTGATCCTCCTGCCTTAACTTCACAGGTAGCTGAGAATACAGGCACACTCCATTGTGTCCTGCTCAACTATTCTTTTTCTCAAGTATTTAAGTTGCAGACATGATGTCCCCCTAAATAGTCCAGTGGGTATTTCCTCCTAAACAAGGACACTTCTACACAACCACAATGCAGCCTTTCAAACCAGGAATTCAGCGTCGGTACATTGCCATCTTCCAGGCCACAGACCTCTCCAGGTTCCTCCAGCCATCTCTTTAATGTCTTCTCCTCTCTGGCTGGGATCCAGTCCAAGAGTGTAGGTTGTATTTTGTCATCATGTCTCTTTATTCTCCTACATTCTGTAACATCTCTCCAGTCTTGTAACATCTTGTCTTCCTGACCTTGGCAGCTTGAGTAGAAGAGGACTTTCATTCTATAGGCTGCCCCTCGGCCTGAGCCTGTCCACTGCTTGCTCAAATCCAGACCCAGTTCTCTGGGTGTTTTACAGAGATGGTAAAAATTTCTCTGACAGTTGAGTTACTGCCATCTTGCTTTCTGTTGTTGTTTTCAGTTTTGATTTTTCTGTGCCTTATTAGGTATTTGAAAGGGAAATGCAAAGACTGTTAGATGCAAAGAGAAACTGTCCCTCATACAGACTTTAAATGACACTTTTAAAAATACTCTAAGACTGAGGCAGGAGGATCACAAGTTCAAGCCCAATCTGGGCAATTTAACAACTTAGCAAGGCTCTCAAAATAAAAATTTTAAAAAGGACTGGGGTTGTAGCTTAGTTGAAAGGCCCTGGGCTCAATCCCCAGTACCACACACACACACACACACACACACACACACACACACACCTTTTTTTCATTTGAAATTTAAGTTACTTCACTTAGAAAAAATTAGGAGTGCCTCCTGTCCCAAAATAATCAGGCCTGGGAGGCCATTACATGACAACTGTAACTCAGAGTAAAAAAGAACCCTTCACTTTTCCTTTGGGGACTTGCCTTTTTGTGCTTTCTGCTAGAAACAAGCTGGGGTTAATGTGTTGGCCACACCACTGGCAGGGTTAACAGTGAATCAAAAGTGTGTTTCTACAAAGAACAGAGAAGAGGAACAGACACAGAGGTGCCCCCAGGCCTGACCCTAAGGAAATGACAGAGGTCATTTCCCCACAGAGACTCTCAGCTCAAGTCTTGCTTGTTAATGCTGCTGGGCCTCAGAGCCCATAGCACAGGAAGATACCTGGGAGTCTTGTGAAGGGCTCAGTAGAAGTGTAGAGCCCTGAGAATGGTAGGAAAGCTGAGACTAAAGGAAGATCTGGGGGCTTCAGGCAGCAGCGTATTATGGGCCCGAGAGGAGGACCTTCTGCAGCACAGGAGTTGGCATGACCTTTAGGCAAATCACTCCAATTCTCTATGCCTGGAAGGAAGTGAGGTGCCAACTAGCCATACACAAAACAGTAACAACTGATGCTTGGACAGTGAAGTCTGTGTCCCTGAAAACTCATCCTATGCAGTAATTTTCTTAGTTCCCACAACAGCTCCAAGAGGGAGATTCTCTAGCTACTTCATAGAAGAGGAAACTAAGACATAAAACAGAAGTAATCAGCTTTCACATCTAGAAGAGGGCAAAGCTAAGATTGGAGGAGCTTGGGTCTGTAACCACAAATCTTTGCTGTCTCATGTAACTCCCTCCAACTTTGTAAGTGAAGGCTATATTGGCTGTAGTGATTTATGAACCAGCTAGAAAGTCCAAAAACTCAGCTTTTGTACAGACAAATCCTGAGGGACCAGGCAGAGGGGTGGTCTAAGCACCAGTGCAGAAGCTGCAATCAGAGTTGGTTGCAGGGTCAGTGAGGGACTTGGCTCAATTCCTGGAACCTCATTTCAGAGATATGATGAAAGGTATGTACGGGCCACTATGGAGGGCCTGGATTCCCAGTCCTGGGATTTATGCAGTTTATTAGATCTAAGAAGGAAGATTGCAACAAAGGCAGGGCTTTGAAGAGATTCAAAAGGCAACAGGTGCAGCTACTTTGGGAGGTACATGAGGAGCCAATAGACAAACCTGTGCCATGGACATCCTGCTGCTTAGGCCTTGTCCTGTAGGAAAAAGCCACAATGGCTTCCTTCTTGAGGCCCCGCTGACAGGCCCTTCTTCTAAGTATCTGGATTCTCACATCTTCCAAGAACAGCCCAGGCCTCTTCACTTCCCTATGACTCTCATTAGGGCTTGGAGCTCTCATTGTTTTCTCTCAGAAATTTTCTGTCTTTCTGGATATGAGGATCCAAACTGATGGACACTGGGGTTGCACACATTTTGGTTTAGGGGAAAACCTGACCCTAGCATTACAGTTGTCATGTAATGGCCTTCCAGGCTTGATTTTTGGGGGACAGAGAACAGTTTTCAAGCAAGAAAATGAACATATTATAAAGGAAGAGGTAACAGCAGTTTGAGGATGAGGGAAGTCACTAGTTTAGAGGAAAAAATGCACATTTGGTCAGTAACTTTGAGTGTTGTCTACCAACTAATTCCCATCCCCTTGTGCTCTGAATTAATATAGTATTTACTGTATAGTATTTACACAAATTTGGGCCCTGGCCCAAGCCTCAATGTAGGCCTATGTCATGCCTATTGGAAAGGCCACCCCACCCCTTGCTGTACTGCTCTCACAAGAGCCAGTTATACATGGCTCTGCCTCCAGAAATTCTTGCTACAACTCAAAAGCAAACAATCTGAGCTCTCAGATTATGCTGCAGTCTGTGTTCACTCTCTTGGTTGGGAAACTGCTCCCTGTACCCCAAAATCAGGCCTGGGAGGCCATTACATGACAACTGTAATGATTTGATTAGGGGGTCAGATTTTCCCCTAAATCAAAATGTATGGAATCCCAGCATCCATCAGTTTGGATCCTCATATCCAGAAAGACAGAAAATCTCTGAGAGAGAAGGCTAGGTTAGTGGAATGTCAACAGTACACCCCATGTTGTGGCAATTGTCACAGCCTTCTAGTGCCACAAAAAAACCTATGTCAGAGGGCTGCAGCTGTATAGAGTTCCCACAGTGAAAGCAGGATGGGCAGGCACTCCAGGGTGACAAGTTGGCTACTTCCCCCAAGTCAACTGAGGACTTCTCTCTGTCTCACCAGATGGCTCCAGTCAGTCTGTGGAGAACTTGTTCATCTGCTTCTCTCTTGGGGAAATTGCAACTTTTAGAATATCCTCTGGAAAAGACAGCCAGCATGAGCATGAGAACTGACCCAGACTATAGGAAGGAAGGAGTTCTTCATGTTTACCTGCCCCTGTCCAACGACCTCTTCATTATCTTTAGACCATAGATGGTAGTTGACTAGACTGATGATGAACAGCTCCTTGTTTCTCCAGAGTGTCACCACCTCCAGATTTCCAGCACCACAGGACCCTCCCTGGGAACTGAATGTCCTACTTCTCCTCCCCACTAAAATGCTGACCTCATGTTGTTCACTGTTGAATCCCAAAAATTTAGAAGAGTTCTTGATACATAGTAGAGCCACAATAAATATTTCTTGAAGGAATATTTACACAAAGTCAAAATTTTCAAGTAGATTTAATGACTATAAATCTTCAGATATTAAACAGAGTAATTCTGAAATGTATAAATAAAAAGTTATTAGAAATACAAGGAATATGTGACAAGATGATAAACATAGCTGGAGTGTTAAAAAGAAATCCTCTCATGGGCCGGAGATTTAGTTCAGTGGTTCCAGCACCTGCCTCGCAAGCGCAAGGTCCTGAGTTCAATCCCTGGTACCAAAAAAA